CCTCCATTGTAGGTCTTCCAGTACCTTTTCCATCAGCCTCACAAATGCTGCTGGAGCATTACTAAGCCTGAATGGCATCACTCGGTATTGCCAGAGACCTTGGCCATAACTAAATGTTGTCTTTGGTCTATCTGCTTCAGCCATTTTTACTTGATGGAAATCTGACTTTAAGTCCAGAGTTGAAAACCACCTGGCTCCACTTAGGGCATCAAGAGTATCATCATTTCTTGGCAGTGGGTATGAGTCTTTTTCATTTATACTCTTAAGAGCCCTGAAGTCCACACAGCAACATTGGGTCCCATCCTTCTTCTGGACTAACACGACGGGAGCTGATCAGGGACTATCTGATTTCTCGACTATCCTTTCCTTAGTTAGACCATCCATGACCTTCTCTATCTCTTGTCACTTTGCCAGAGCTATTCTCTTCGAAGGGATCTTTATTGGACGATCATTGCCCATGTTTATTCTGTGTTCTACAAGGTTTGTGCAGCCGAGGTCATGATCTCCTTTCGAAAAGACGTCTGCATAATTTGCCAAAAGTTCTTTTACCTAAAGAGCCTGTGATGATGCCAAATGGACTATGCTCTTTTTTATAGAGGTCAGTTAAATGTTCTGGAAGTGTATGTCCTTTCTTTACAGTTGTATTTCTTGCTTTAACATTGACTGGCTCTACCTCCTGGCACACGCCCAACAATGCCCCTTCCTTAAGTGTCTGCTCACATTTAGAGAAATTGACCACTGTTATAGGTACTACTTGATGACCTGCCACAAGTGACCTTTCAATCTTCAAATCCACTGGCCTGGATGGGTCTTCCACTGCTTTCACAAGCATTGGGCTTCCTTGTGGATGTTCTTTCATCCTACCCAAATTATTTTCTCTGACATAGGGGGTACACAGCACTTAAATCAACTACAAGACATGCAGATCAACGGATGTAGCAACACTTACTGGAATCTGGCCTTTGTTGTTTCCAAACGTCATTTTATCGAAGTCAACTACACACTTCCTCGGTCGTAAATAGTCCAATCCTAATATGCATTGGTCTTCAATGTCAGCCAAGTATACGTTCTGTCTGTTCTTCATGTCCATGAGCTCAATATTTACCCACACTGATCCCCACAACCTTGCATAATGTCCTGTCACACCACAG